ATGATTCAAACGCGAGTTTTGGGCAGTGTTGAGTAGCGCTTGTTGTTTGTCAAACCCTGTCAAATGCAGACAGGGTTTTATGTTTACGTGGCGCGATGCAACGCAAAGCGTAAAAAGACAGTATAAGTCATTATAATCAGTAATTATGTCCCCACTGGATGCAACAAATGCCTCGTTTGTAATGGGGTTTTAATGTTTATGTCTCATAGCTCCGGCCGGACACGGCATCAACAGTATGGTGAGGGGCGTAACATTTCCGTCACACGCTTGAGGTATTCGGCCAATCACAACGCACTGGATAGCTGGCCAATCACAGCACACCGCGCTTTTCAGACCGATGAGCTTTGTGAAAAAAATTAACGCGTTTCAAAAAGGCGGGGCATAGAGGAAAAACAATAATGTACAGTATGTGGAAAATAATGTGTTTTTTTAACTTTAAACCGCATAAACACATTTCATTACACCAAATACACAAAATAATGTTCTTTTTAGCAGCATCATATGACCCCTTTAAAGCATCCTTGCTAAATAAAAGTATTAATTTCTATAACCTAATATTGACTCCAAGCTTTTAAATGGTATAGTGTAGAATGTTACAAAAGCTTTTTATTTCAGATAAATGCTGAAATTTGTATCTTTCTATTTATCAAAGAATTCTGAAAAAATTTGACTCAACTGTTTTAAATATTGATAATCATCAAATCAGCATATTAGAATGATTTCTGAAGGATCATGTGACACTGAAGACTAGAGTAATGATGCTGAAAATTTGGCTGATTTAGCATGTTGAATTTGCTGGTCGAAACGGTGTACAAGTAGAAAAACTACTGTCACCTGCTGGTATGGAGAGTTATTTTTTTTCTCTCACAAATGCAGAATGTACATGCTAGTTGACTGTAGTCTCTGTGGTGTGTTCAAGCTCAACTTTTTGGCCAGGATGTGGGCGACATGATGCAACACCACAGTTAGCTTTTGACGCCACTAGTTCTTTGATGTTGGATTTCACATTGATTTAAATTGAGATTCATGGCTTTATTTGTAAGTTATCTTTATGTTTGGAGGCAGGGAGGCGATTTATTTTGTGTTTAAGCTGTAACATTTAACATTTGTAACATCACAAATAGTGCTCTCATGGGGTTGGTTTGCTTAGTTGCAGTCTCTCAATTTTACAATTAAGGGTTAGGATTGTGAGCACCGGTGCATCAGAAGGAAAACTGCACATTTACAGTATCGCCATGTTCACCGGTAAAGTGTGAAATTGCTCTTCTGCCAGTTTGTGACCACAATATGACTGTAAATCTGTGGCCCTGCTCCTCTCCCACAAACTTACTAAAATGTCCAGTCAACAGCTCCCATTATCTGTAATGAGAGACCAGTGACAGTGTGAGGGAAGCACTTTTCAGTTGTTGATTTACCCATGTCCTGCTTTTAGAAGATAGGAAACTTTTCCATCTACATTGACAAGATGGATACAGGGTTCTACCTGTTTAAATGATAGCTATACGGTAAGGAAGGACATTTGATCTGAACCTGCATATTCTGACCATCTCATTTAGAATACATTTTTCATCCAAAAGCAATTGATAGTTCGGCATTTACACAATGTAGGATAAAGTGCCTTGCTCTTCATTCAAATGACAGGCTGGTGGACTGATGATGATAATACCTTTCATCATCATCATTCTTCACGATCTTGCTAAGCAGGCTGTCTTCCATCATTACCTAATGGCAGGTTTGATTTACGTGTTAATTCCCATCGTTGCCATGGGAACAAGTTGCCTGGGTTGTCTTGACAGAATAGTTGATGGTTGATTTTACCCTCTGGTTTTACACAGCCAGCTCTGATGAAAGAAATTTTCTCTTTAGGAGAACCTGATGACAGAGACCAGTCCAAACTAGAGATGAAGATGTGGGACCCAGATTGTCCGCTGACCAACAAACAGATTGACCAGTTTCTTGTGGTTGCTCGGTATGTTTTTGCAATTCTGTAAATGCAAGTGTCAAACACTGAAATTGATTAATATTACCATGAACTATATTTTGATTTTGTTGTTTAAAAACAACAACAACAACAACAAGTTGGCTTGTCTCTACAGTTTGTTTGGTTTCTGAATATCCTTTGAGTTTCAATGGTATAATGCTTTTGTCAGCCAATAAGTCTATGCATAAAACATTGTGGTTGGCACAAACCATGTTTGTGATCCAAATATTGTTTCTTTATAGCAAAAGGGACATTATAATTGAAATAGGCACAATTGAATTGAGAGCTTATGAATTGGAATCAAATCAAATCAGGAAATCTGTATAGTTACAGATATCCGTTACAGATAAATTTGCACCGAACAATCACATCGTCCTCCCCAACCCCAATCCGCCCCCCCCCACCCCACTCTCCCACTCCATCAGAACAGATCTGTTTTCGGGTTGTGAACTGCACGTTGAGAACCACTGCTGAAGAAGACACTGGAAACTGTGTCAACGAGGAAACTGATGGCATAATTAAATTTGCATGTTGAATCTGGTGATCTGTGTGCAGAGCGGTTGGTACTTTTGCTCGAGCGTTGGACTGCAGCAGCTCCGTCAGACAGCCCAGCTTACACATGAGTGCCGCGGCAGCCTCACGAGACATCACACTGGTACCCATCCCATCAGCACCATCGGTCTCGCTCTATATATCCATTGGAGTTGTTAAAGAAACTTGATTAATTCACTCCCTATCTGTCTCTCTCACTCTCTTAAGTTCCATGCCATGGACACTCTGCACCGGCACGGCTATGACCTCTCCAGTGCTCTGAGCGTGCTCGTTCCTCAAGGAGGGCCAGTGCTGTGCCGGGATGAGATGGAGGAGTGGAGCTCGTCAGAGGCAAACTTGTTTGAGGAGGCACTGGAGAAGTACGGCAAAGATTTCAATGATATACGGCAAGATTTTGTGAGTATGCACAGAACGCAGGGATGGGCGAAGAATTGATTTGATGCATTGTGACTCTTTTTCAAATGATTCTAACACTATTGTTCAAAAGTTTGGGGTCGGTTCGAATGTTTTTGAAAGAATGTTCAAAAAGAATGTTTTTGTTATGTTCTCTAAGGCTGCATTTATTTAATCAAAAATACAGTACAAAAAGTTAATATTGTAAAATATTAGAATTTAAAATACATTTTAAAATGTATTCCTGTGTTATGTTATTCCCGTTATAGCAAAGCTGAATTTCCAGCAGCCATTACTCCAGTCTTCAGTGTCACTTGATCCATCAGAAATGATTCAGATATGCCAATTTGGTGCTCAAGATACTTATCAATTTTGAAAACGTTTGTGCTGCATAATATTTTTGTGGAAACGGTGATATTTTTTTCAGAATTCTTAGAAGAAAAAGTTTCTTTCACTATTGATCAATTTTATGCTTCCTTGCTTAAAGTATTAATTTCTATAAAAGAAAAAACTAACTTACGCCAAACTTTTGAACAGAAGTGTACTCTGGACAAAATATTACAGATGAGAGTCACGCAGTGGGCAAGATCTTGAACTCTTGAAAATACTTCACTTCGCAGGACACAATATATCATACTTTTCTTAATTTATTATTTACTCAATATTTAATTTTCATGCACTGCAGCAGTAAATGCACACTGACTGACAACAGCTAAATTTATGCTTGATATGATCGTATACATGTGTCAGCGCAGACATATTTTAGAATTTTTATGTGGAATGTTTACACTCAATTTTTCCTTGTGCTTCTTGGCTACTAAAGATTAAAGACATCGAGAATGATTTTGGAATTCAATCATGAGATGCCTCAAGATTCTCACCCCTAGCAGATATATGTCTTGGAAGGTGCTATAGGGCAAAATAAGAACAGTTTAAAATGGATTGTTATATGTGGTGCTGTTGAAAAAACAGAAATTATACAGTTTAGAGGAGCAAAGCAGAGAACGAAACTTCAAACGAAGGGATGAAAGAGTAGCAGCAGAGATGAGGGGATGTGAGGCTGAGAGATGGGAAGATTGGACCAGCTGAAAGGGTTTGATTTGGAGCATGTTGCTTCTTGACATAACTGAGTACATTTGATCCGTTCATTCAGAGACAAGGGTACTTATTTGTATGGGGGCTGGAGTGAGAGCTTTGTTGTTGGGGTGTGAACAAGGAAAAGCTGTTTTCTATTGCTCTGAGAAATGGGATTTCTTTACTCTGGGGCTTCATTTCTCAAAATGGAATGAAAAAGAACTGCACTTCTACTGAGCCACTTTGTAGCACACAATAAGAATCACTTGTTCAAGAACACCAAGTAGTCCCATAGAGATTGACTTTGTGGGGTGGTTTAAATGGTGCACTGGTTTTCTCTTACTCTTTGTTTCCCTTTCGGTCTTAAAGCAGCAATCAATAGTGATTGATTTGTGCTGTGATTAATAGATAGAAGAGGAGGATATAAAACATCATCGACCATGCAGGGTTCAGATATCTAGATGAGTTTGTCTGGCTGATTCTGCATTCATTCTGTACATCTAGTTTTAAAGATTTGCAGAGTTTTTTATATTAAATTTCAAGTGGTCTAATTGTTATATTATAATTATTCATAAAATTGTGTTAAACTGTAGTAATAAGCTATCATAATGATACGTTACATTTATAACACCTTGACAAAGTGCATGTAGTCAAATCCCCATATACAGAATGAGGGAAATTACTAAAGCTAAAAAAGGAATTGCATAAAAAGGGCCACGTTTCTCACATGTTTGTAATGTTATTTCTCATTGTTTTTAAAAAACTTTGTTTTATTTGGTTAAAGCATGATTTTAACTGTCATTTTGTTTTAAACACAACTTAAGCATAACAGTTTAAGAACTGTAATCTAATGATTTCCATCCTTATTCCTTACCGGGTTCAAAAACCGAAAGAAAAGCAAAGAAATCAGCCACTAAAAATACATAGCAGCACCTCAGGATGTTATTCTAAATGTTCTTCATAACACCAGCTGTCAGCACAGAACACCTCTGTGCTCATTTTTATACTCTGCTCACCCTCGCATAGATGCGGGCCAAAAGTGGGGGCTCGGTCAGCTTTAAGATTTTTAAAAATTCTTTGCACCCGTTTCATGCACGTTTCCTTGCGCTCAGCAGGTGCTCATGAATAATCTTGTGCATCTGCATGTGATTCTAGACATATTACGCTCAAAATAAATATTCCATAAATTCTGACCCCTTAAAGAATGAAGACAAGAGCTGTATCTTCAGTGAGACATTGACTTTTAACGTCTTAAATAACCTGTTTTATTTCAGCTTCCTTGGAAGTCGCTGACCAGCATCATTGAGTATTATTACATGTGGAAAACCACAGACAGATATGTTCAGCAGGTGAGCAGCGTTTTTAGTGCAATTAGTTGAAGTTATGCTTTACTTTAATAAATTAACTTTAATTATCTGGTAATCTCTTTCTCTGTTTGTTCTGACTGTCTTTGATCTCGCTTAAAGCTTAATATTATAATTTTGTACAGAAACGACTGAAGGCAGCTGAAGCAGAGAGCAAACTGAAGCAAGTTTACATCCCCACATAGTGAGTTTTAGCATCTGTTAAATACCAGATTTTCGAAGATCTGTACGCCATTCACATGATTCAGATGGCCTTTTATATTAGGATCAGTCTCAGCTGCATCTCCAGTGACCACTTGTGATCGGATTTCAATTTTGCATGTTTATAAACCCTCCTTTAGAAGATTATATTGTGAAATCTAATTTGCTTTTTGCCTCACAGCAACAAACCCAATCCTAACCAGATCTCCGTCAGTAACGGCAAAATGGCTACTGTGAACGGTGCAGCAGGCACAGGCAGTTTCCACACAGCCGGAGGCGGGCGCGCATGTGAGAGCTGTTTTGGTGAGTAAAGACCCTCTTCGCCTAATTACAGTCAACACAGCCGTCCAATCAATTTCGCTGCTTCACCCAGAGGACACGTCACACCTCCTGCAATCAATGGGGCTGGATACTGCATTTTCTCCCGTTTATCTTCCAATTAGATCAATCAAAGCTGCCACATCAAAATCTGTGTGATCAGCAATGATTAGTCTGGATCTATATTACTTTTTAGTAATGAACGCACAGTGGGGAGCATAGAGGGAATTTCATTCCTCTCAACACCTAATTCTATCATTGTGTTTTAGGACATTGCTTTATATTTCTCTTTAGTTTGCAATTACATTTTCATGAAGGCTGAGTGTTCCTTTAGACAGACCTAGTTATACAGAATTAATTTAATAGGAAGAAGATTTTCCTGAACAAGAATATGACACATCAGGCATAATTCGACCTTGTAGTGCACTTCTGGGTCATTAATTTATTCTTCTCTGTTTACAGCCGCACAGTCTGCTCAGTGGTACTCGTGGGGTCCTCCAAACATGCAGTGTCGCCTTTGTGTGTCCTGTTGGATGTATTGGAAAAAGTATGGTGGCCTGAAGATGCCAAGCAGAGCTGAGGGGGCAGAGGAAAAAACGCCTCCAAGCCCTGCACCCAATGTAAGTACTATTCTGACAGTGTGGATCTGCATTGAGGCAAATTATTTTATTCCACAAGGATGTATTACATTGTTCAGAAGTGACAGTAGACATTTATAATATCAGTGTTATTTGAATTAATGCTCTTCTTTTGAACTTTCGTTAACACTTTTGTATAGGGAGCAATTCTTACTGTTAACTAGTTGCTTATTATTAGCATGCTTATTATTAACATATTGGATGTTTATTAGTACTTAGAATGCACATATTCTGCATGACCATATTCTACATCCCTAATCCTACCCAGTACCTAAACTTTCTATTCGTAAAAGAATACTTAAAATGTCACATCACTGTTTTCAACATTTACAATAAGAAATTCTACTGTTGTTCATTATTTAATTCTTGTTCATAATATATTACATTTCTATTAAATTGTTAAAAATGTATTCATAGAAACAAACATTAACCTAAATTAAATGCTTTGAAAATAAAAATATTTTTTAGGGATGCACCGATATGAAAATTTTGGCCGATACCGATAACCGATTATTCTTTATTTTTGAAAGCCGATAACCGATATGTTGGCCGATAAATCTATATCCAAATTGTTATATATTTTTTGAGAGCCTGATTACAAAAAAGGTCTCATCATTAAAAGCCACATCCCAAACACTAAGCAGCCTAGTTTGAACGGTGTACGTTTTAAAAATATTTTTACTCTCCCATTACCAAATTTAGTCATAAAAAAGTCTTACAAATAAATAAAATAATGCATAAATAATGCAAACAAGTCACTGGACATCATTACACGTGTAAAGAATCAAAATGAATGCGCCATAGATCAATAAAACGGAATAGCCTCTGCACGGACAATAATTAAATGATTTTAATTACTAAACCATATTGTTGATGAAAATAATAAGAGAAAAATACAAGTGGTTGTTGTTATTAATAATATATCAATGATTTTGAAAAAGTAACAAATTAATACCACTGTTTTAAATAGCAGCCATTGAGCTGCAGCTCAAGCTGAAGCTGAAGAGCTGAATGAACACGGTAAACTGAAGCGTTTTGCTGGCAGCTTATTTAACTCAAGGAAATGCATCCTGAGATTAATATTAATACAACATAAACATAATATTACAACTTATATATGAAATGACAAATGACGCAGTTATTGCATGCTATAGTCAGAATGTGTGATCCTGTTGTGGATGCGCTCTTCCCATAACAACGCGCTGAAACACAGCAACTAAACCCAAAGAATGCACAACGTTTTATTATAATAATGTTCTCATTAGAATGTTATATACACGACATTCCCAATCATAGTTATTAATGTTGTGCACTGCTGTTTGAGCTGCGTGCGCTGAGCTAAAGACGATCACCGGTAAACTGAAGCGCTCTTTTAACTTAACCAAATGCATTCTATATGAGATAAATCAGATATACATCAAATAAACACAATATTACAACGTACAATTGCACAAAAGGCTGCAAAAGAACAGCGCGCATCTGAAGTGTCTCTGAAGGAAATAATGAATTATTTATCGGCTTTAAGATATCGGCCAAATTTTCTTATCAGGCCGATACCGATAACAGAAAAAATGAGCATTTTTTTCGGCCGATACCGATATGGTGGCCGATATATCGTGCATCCCTAATATTTTTCATTGCCTGCATATTTTATCTATTGGATTAACTAATGTTAATATATAGAGCTGTGTTGAAAAGTGTTATCATAGTACCAATACCATTTTTAAAAATTAAATTGAGTCAAAATTTTACAGTAAAAACACATTGTGATTGGCACAAGCCATTTATCCTGGATGTGAATGAACAGAGGTCAAGGAGACATCAGGTCTTGTCTCAAAACTTTAAAAAAGCCATTATATTCTCTTTCACTTTCTGCTGTTTTCCCATCATACCTCTTTATTTTGATTGTATTTCCATTGTTTTTCTTATATTAATCCTTCATTTCCTTCATTGTCTGTCTCTCCATAGGAGATGCGTTCTCGTGGCCATGGTGCCCGTCAGTCTTCCCACATGGTTCCGATAAGGAACAGCGGCAGCCCCAAATCCTCCATGAAGACTAAGCAGGCGTTTCTCCTGCAGGCCACCCGCCTCACCAAGCTGGCGCGTCACATGTGCCGCGACCTCATCAGGCTGCGCCGGGCCGCACGCCGCCCCTTTGTGCCCATTAACTGTGGTGCCATAAAGGCGGAGTGTAAGAGCTCTTTAAATTCCTAACTTCAGCCTCACGTGCAAACACACACAACCACCCACACTGTCCAACCCACTCTGTTCCCCGACCACACCTGTCCACATCTTGCTGTCATTCCTCCCCTCCATCTTCTGTCTTGTACTGTTTTTATTATTATTATTATTATTATTATTGTTATTATAGTTTATTATATTTTTGGTTTTTGTATTCTCCCCACCACATTTCCAATAAAGACTGCCTGTCCTCCATATTTTGTTTCAATCATCTTTTCATTTCAAATTTAATCCCTTTGGCCTTTTTAAATTTAGATTTTTATTGAACCATTATAAAATGTCCAATAAGATTTTATTTTTTGACTGAGATCAAATTAATTATTAGGAATAATTACATCAACAGAAGAAAAAACAAATCATAGTGGTGCGTGCCTAGATTTATAGTTGAAATACTGTCCCTGTCAGGAAAATTTAAGGAAGTATGTACCTTCTGAGTCTGGATTGTCAGTGTATGTGTGTTAATGCCTCGGCTTTCATTTTTGTCGCTACCACTGAACTGCCTCTGAATACAGACAGTTTCATCACTGATTGTACAGAGAACATTAATGTCTCCAAGGGAAGAATATGTCTATTTTATTGTAGCAGACTGGTATACAAAACAATATTTCATGAAGTATTATGTGAAATAGCTAAATTAATTGCTATTACGTGTGCAACCGATCAATCATTTGGTAGCTAACACTGACAGGCAGTTCAGAGGCATGCATGTATGTAATGATATGATGAAGTGTTGTTAAAGTAATTATTCTATTGTGCTTTTCAGTAATGCAAAGATGATGGACTATCAGTCTCATTTTTGGTGCAGTTTATGATCTAATTAATTAGATGTTCAGTAAGTTGGAAAACGTTGTTTACGAAATATTGAGTCATGCAGTTGGAACAAGGGTAGACAAAAGTTCCCTAATGTGTTTGCTATTCTGATATTTAAAAGCTGAAGTTTGTTCTCTTAAGAGTTTGCACACTAGTCTGTAATTTGTCAAAAGCCCAATTTAAAATGCTGAGGAAGTTGGTCAATAGCAGTAATTGATTAGGACGTTGTGTCTTGGGAAGTGTTACGTTGGCACAGAAAAGAGAAATGGCCCTAGACATGCAGTTTTAAAGGGAAGGATCTGCAATGATGGCAGTAATTTAAGATTTTTGGGATTCTTAAATGGTTTCTGGATTATTATTTGTCATAGAGTGCATGTGAGTTGATGTTAATTAATGAAACACCGAGTTGGAATGAAAGGGAAAGATGCATCTCATATTTTTTTCCATAATTTTTCAAATACATCACAAACTCAAAACCCCCAAATATGCAACA